TTCATCACTGAACACATTGTTATGCTGATTAACTGGGATGTCCCATGAAACCATGACACAGAATCTTGAAACTAAGGAAACAAAGCCCATGAGATTTTTGTTTGTACTTAAGTAGACTCAGCAGCTGCTGTTTTTATTTGTTGTCATTGTAAATATATCACAGAAGTTTTACCACTTCAACTTTTTTACAGGTGTACAACTTATTGACAGCAACTACAATAATCAGCAAGTAAAATATTCAGCTTTCAACCTTACTATTAATCAATACAATGTTTTCATCAGCATTAACTCCTCCTCCTACCCTTGATTCCAACTGATATTTTTTTCTATATACTTCCCTTCATTATTTTTGTATACGCGAGGCTGGATGATATTTGTCCTTTTATAAATGACAGGATAATGTCTTCAAGCCCCATCCATACTGTAGCATGTATTAAAACTTTATTTCACCTACTGGCTGAGTCATGTTCTGAGGTATATACCTACCAATGTTGTTTTTCCACTCAATGATTGATGGACACTGAATGAATATCCATTTCTGTATCTGCTATGACGAGCACTTGGGTGATGCTAATGGTTAAGCATACAACTCCTAGCCAAAAGTTCGACGTGCCTCCAAAGACAAGCCTGGCAATGTGCTTGGGAAAGGTCATGATCTTAAAACCCTAGGGAACAGTTATACCCCAAACACATGAGTCATAATCAGCAAGAGAGCAACTCACAACATTTATGTTTATGTGTCCCCTCCTGCATCCCAGGCCTTCAAAAAGGTTTTGGAAATTTTTCCATTATCTTTTAGTTCCATTTACTTCCACAAATTTTTGAAGCTTCCTTGTATATATGATGCAAGATAAGATGGTTGCCTATGGGTAACAGGTTGGACCTCAATCTGTAATTTGAGCAATTCAGAACACTATAGATATACTTACATACACTGTATATACTCATGTATAAGCTGAGTTTCTCAGCACATTTTTTAATGCAGTTTTTGTGGTAAAATTAGGTGCTTTGGCTGATATTGGGATTAGCTTATACTCGAGTATATATGGTTTGTTATGTGTGTGTGTGTGTACCATCTGTATAGAAGACTGATGAATACTACATGAGATATGGTCATCACTGATTTGACCTACGTCTGTTCACCTTGTCTTGTTAAATGCTCTTTTAAAAATAATGACAGGTTCTAATCATTGCTATGTTTCTGTAACTCTAAGATTGACTTATCAATAATTTTAAGTCACAATACGGTAAGGCTATAATTATTATGAACATTTGCCTCAGACATCTTTATCTTGGGACACACTTCTAGAAGTAAAAGATTTCCAGAAACATCATCCTCAATAGCTTGATCATTTAAGCTTCTTTGCAACCTGTCATTGGAAGCAGAAAAGAAAACACATCCACTGTATACATATCTAATAAAATATTTAGAAAAGTCCATTGATACTAGCAGTTAAAGTCTCAGTATGATTTTTTACACCATTGGCCCTTGAGCAGTCCAGATTCAATTACACCATTCACTATATCCAGCCTCCTGAGGTGAATCATAGCCACATGAGCAGTCTATCTCTCCAATAAAGTGTTCATTGCAGTAAAAAGTGATCTTTCGCGATCCTCACCTATTTTTGCAACACCGTGAACCTTGGTTAACGCTATGGGATCCATACCAAGGGCCACTAGTGATGCTAGAAGTGTTTCCAAGAAGCTGACAAAAGCCATGGCTTTACATGAAAAAGTTTAATTGTTTGATATGTCCTGAAGTTGCCCACTATTTCAAAATAAATGAAACCATTGTGAAAAGAAAAGAAAATTTGTAACCATAACCGCAGCTACACCAGCTGGCAGGAAATCTTTTTGTAAAGTATCTTTTTATCTAGTATGGAAAATGCAACTTTATATGGGTGTAGTATACAATACATAGCACATAAAAATGTATTACTAAATGATCTATGTTATCAGTAAAGCTTCTTGTCAACCATTAGCTATTGGTGGGTAAGTTTCATGGGGAATCAAAAATTATATGTGGTTCTTCGACCACCAGGGGGTTGACCAATGACCATTGTTCCAGGTCAACCTTACTTTCAAACTCACATTTTCCCCAAACTTTCTACCTTTGTACCAGCAAAAGCAACTTTAAAAATTAAAATCCAACAGAACAAACAAAAAACCCTGAATTTGCTGACTTCTTAATCTAAGTAGTAGAGCTAGTAATTCCAGGACACTTTGTTCATATCTGTATCCTTCTTAAAATGCAACATCTCCCAGGAAGTGTTATCGACACTGATTTATTTTCCGAGGGCTTCCAAGCTTTCAATGGGGAATTAGAATCACATGTTCCAGTTCATGCTTCTATTACACATAGCTCGGTATATACATATATATATATATTCCTCTTAATAAGAAATATATATATATTTCTTATTAAGAGGATAGCTTTATTGAAGTGCATTGATGAGAGAGAAGAATATATTTCTTTCTGTAAAACCATACAAAACCAAAGCCGTTATGTGGCATTGGATAATGCTTGCTCGGTGACTCGTACTTATTCCAGATCTGTCAAGCATGCCGAATTCAGCCTTCCTCCCCACCCACCCCCGTTCTGAATCCTTTATTGTTTGTCTGCACATGGTGTTCTGCTTAGTGATGGACAGGGAAAAAAAACTATAGAAGCACAGAAGCCATGCCTGGTATGTAGTGTCTTTGTTCTGCTTTTTAAAAAGCAATAGTCAGAAAATCTATTTATGTCAAATTTTAATTGTTTTTATGCTTTACGTGGTTTTCCTTTGAATGTCCTTCCATTTCCTATTTTTAGTTTGATCTTCTCTGAGCAATTTTTCTGTTCATTTCATAATCTTACTTTCCCAGAATTGCAAAGGTAACATTGCAAGAATTATGTGGCTGAGGTCCACGGTGGTCAATGTTGAATAGATTGGAGGAGAAATCAACAAAATTACAGTTATTATGTGATGCGGATAGTCATGGCAATGTTTTCACCATTTGAAAGATTTTCTTCTATCTCAATATAACCCTAATCTGGGGTTCAGGAAGCTGACTTACGCCATACATCCGCTGACTTTTATTTTGTTTGTTTTAAGCACTTTGTTCTTACTAGAAGCCATTTAGCCCGTCTGACGCATAGTGACCTTGGGTACAATAGAACGAAGCACCACCCAGCCCCGTGTCACCGTCATAATTACCTTTACCGTTGAGCCCGTTCTTTCAGCTACTGTGTAAATCCATCTTGTCCAGGACCTTCTCATTTTGCTTGGCCCTCTATCAAACATGATGTCCTTCTCCAGGGACTGGTCTCTCTTGATAATATGTCTAAATTATGTGACAGAGTCTCACTATCCTTGCCTCTACGAAGGATTCTGGCTACACTTCTCCCAAGACAGATTGGTTTGTTCCTTTGGTAGCCCGTATGCTCGATATCCTTTCCCGGCCCCACTGTTCAAATGCATTGAGTCTTCTTTGAGCCTCCTTATTCAATGTCCAACTTTTCATTGCACATGAGGCCATGGAAAATATGGCTTGGCTTAGGTATGCCTTAGCCCTCACTATACCAACCTTGCTTTTCAGCACTACGAAGAGGCCTTGTACCGCATGGTTACCCAAGGCAAGGTGTGGTTTGATCTCTTGACTGCTGCTTCCTTGGGCCTTGATTTTGTATCCAAGCAAGACAAAACTTTTGACAACTTTCATCTTTTCTTCATTTGTGCTGAGGTGGCCTGTGGGCCCAGTTGTGAAGATGTTT